CTGTCCCAAAAATAAATAAACGTTGAAAAAAAATTTTTAAAAGAACCAGGGTGTCTCTGTTGATGATCACACCAATTCTTCCCAGGTTAGCACCACCAGTCACCATACACAGATTACCCGCGTCAAACTTGATGAAATCAGTAATCTATACAGTCTCTAAATCAATCTGGATAGTGTCATTCACCTTGATGAGTGGATCAGGAGAGCAGAGGGTGCTAGCATCATGGGTGACCAGACGAGGGATTCTTTTGTTTCCATAAAGATCTCTTTCTGCACGGCTTATACTTGGCTTCCTCAGGTGTGATCCAGTGAACAGCAAAGTGACCCTTGGTGTCATAGATCAGGCGGAAATTCTCTCCAGTCTTGTCAATGCTGATGACATCAATGAAACCAGCAGAGTAGGTTATGTTGGTTCGGACCTTGCCATCAATCTTAATAAAATGCTGCATACAGATCTTCTTCATCTCTTGTTAGGGCATGCTTAAGTCTGTTCCTTAGGCAAATGAGAGGGAAACATTGTCTCAGCTTATGGGGACCAGTAGATGGACAAGGTGCAAACACACTGGTCAGCTTATCCAGCATCCAGTGCTTTGGAGCTGCTACCTGCTTCAGATGCTTCTTGGGACCACGAGTCATGGCCGAGCTAGGCACCAAAAGAGCAACCTCTCAGTGCTTTTATTCTCCTTGGATACATCCTGGAAATGTAGCCAGTGGCAAAAGAGAGGGCCACATATGCTTCTGTTGGGGTATTGTGGGTATCAGTAGCAGCAGTGACAGCAGGAAACCTTGAGACAGGATCCACTGTAAGAGATGATGACTTTCAGTTTTAACCCGTTGGTGAACCCAGGGTCCAATAATCTTTTGAGGTAAGAAATGTAAATTTCTAACTTGACATTTTCTTAACACTTACCAGCTATATGCTAGCCAGTGTAGAAAACATGGAATTCAGCCTACAACCCCTGTCCAACAGATTCTCAAATTTAATGTGTTAGACTGAGGGAAAAGCATAATGGTGTGCAGCAAAGTTAAGAAAAAAAACCGAGTTAGGGAGGGGTGAGACATTGCCACAGATTAACAAAACGTTATCTTGGGTCCTTTGGACAACTCTATCATTTACCTATGTTCTAGGTCTTTTAGGAAGTTTCTTGGGAACAGATCCTACATTTTTATCTCATTCACTGCTTTATTCTCAACATCTAAAGTGTTGTTTACCACTCACTAGGTGCTGAATTCATACTTGTTGAATGACTACTGTGAAAACTCAGATCAGAGAGGGGAATTGATACAGTAAAGGTCACAAAGCTGGTTTATGGCAGAGCTGGATCTAGAAACTAGTTTTGATTCTTCATTCTTTCTTGTATCAAATTCAGGAGGCAGCTGGAAAGAAAAAATGCAACAAATGAAGCCTCCTGTATGCTGACTTTGTATCTTCCACATAATATTTCTTCTTCCTATATGAAATACCATTAACCAAATCTATCAGTTTAATGTCTGAAATGTGAGTCAAGAGAACTGAGTTCTTGGGGCGCCTGGGTGGCTCAGTCGGTTGAGCGTCGGACTTTGGATCAGGTCATGATCTCGCCGTCCATGAGTTAGAGTTCTGTCGTCGGGCTCTGCGCTGACAGCTCGGAGCCTGGAGCCTGCTTCAGATTCTGTGTCTCCCTCTCTCTTTGCCCCTCCCCCACTCATGCTCTGTTTCTCTCTCTCTCTCTCTCTGTCAAAAATAAATAAACATTAAAAAAAGAGAGAGAGAGAGAACTGAGTTCTGTTCCTAGTTCCTCTATTCACTCCCTTTGTCACTGAGGCAAATTACTTACCCTGTCCAAAATCAGTTTCTTCTTCTGTCATGAGAGAGCTAAGCTTCCTTTCATTTCTCATGTCCTAGGAGTCTAATTTCATGAAAGCTAATCAATAAGCTCACCCACGGATCATATGTCTGAACATCCTGCTATCAGTGTTCCTGGAGTGTGGTCAGCATATCACCTGTATCAGAATCATCCCAGTCCTTTAAATATGCTGAGTTTGTAGGGGCGCCTGGGTGGCGCAGTCGGTTAAGCGTCCGACTTCAGCCAGGTCACGATCTCGCGGTCCGTGAGTTCGAGCCCCGCGTCGGGCTCTGGGCTGATGGCTCAGAGCCTGGAGCCTGTTTCCGATTCTGTGTCTCCCTCTCTCTCTGCCCCTCCCCCATTCATGCTCTGTCTCTCTCTGTCCCAAAAATAAATAAACGTTGAAAAAAAAAAATAAATATGCTGAGTTTGCAATTGTTAAAGAGAATAAATAGTTGCTGATTTGGAGGGATTCCCATTAGGCCATACTTCCCAACTCTTTTCACTTCTATAGATATGGTACACATAAAAAGTGATAATGTTGGGACTCCTGGCTCCCTCAATCAGAGGAGCATGTGACTCTTGATCTTGGGGTCGTGAGTTCAAGCCCCACATTGGGTGTAGAGATTAAATAAATAAAAACTAAAATAAAGTGGTAATATTTATGTGGTATACTGGGGTAAGAAAGCTTAGACTGTCTCTTTGCCAACGCACATTTCACTGAGAAGCTGCCAGAAGTATCACTGAGTGAGAAAACCAAGTTGCAGAAAAATATGTATATGATCCATTTTCAAGATAATGCCAAAACTCTGTATATGTAATATGTCTACATGAATATTATGTTATATTATGTGCATGTAGATATACAATTTTATAAGAATATTGAAAGGATCATACCAGGTTGTTAAAGAAGGGTAAGACAGAAGGGGACACAAAGAATAAAGAGAAAAAAAAGTGAAAACACCAGTATGTATGCTATGAATCCATTTATGCATTTATGTAAAATAATGTATTTGTAGATGAAGACATTTAAAAAATTAAAAATGCAGATCCGTTAAAGCAGAATTTAAAAGATAGGAGATGGGAAGAGGTGGGTGTCTGCATCATTAATAAGTATTCCAAGTGATTCTGTAACAGTCAAGTCTGTAAATCTTTGTATTAGATGCTAATGTCATTAGCTATAAACACAGTGTATTTGGAAATTTCCATCCTGCAATGCAGGCTCAACTGGTACTCACTGTCTTGGAACATAGTAGATGCATAATAAATAGCTGCTGATTTTTTGAGTCATTTGGAGGATAGGTGAAGGGAGCGAGGGCCAAAGTGGTGAGAGAAGCAGGTCATCTGGGCAAGGTCAAGTTCAGGAGAGATGAAGCAAAAAGCATACCAGAACAAATGGGTTGGACCCTCATGCCATTTTCAGACATTCAACCTGTATTTGTTAGGCACTATGTACATGTTAGACACTTTTCTCTATCTCACATAATACCTAAATAATCCTTTACAGATTCAAAGAGATGAAGTGAGTAGCAGTACTATCAGAATTGGAATTTGAACTCAACACATATTTTGAGCACTAAGCTAATGAACCAGACACATGGCAGCTGCTAAGGATATAGGATGGTGATCTCAATCGTTAGCTCTTTTTCATATCTAGAATCATGTCGCTCTACCATGATCATCTCTGTCTCTTGTCACTTATTAGCTGACCTTCCTACTCAGCTGCTTTTCTAAGCAGCTTCTTTTCCTATATTTCAACTTAGCTCTTGCCAAAGAGAGATTATAGTAAATGTGTGTTGTTGTTGTTTTTGTCCATTATCCCTAGCTAGTGTTTTCACAGTGGGGAGAAGTATCATTTCCCAGGTGACTTTGTGTAGTGCAAGGTCCCCCTAAATCTAAAAAGCCTAATTCTAGTGTTTTTTCCAATTCTTAGGCACCTACCAAGTGAGAATAATTCTGGCTCTTGGCCGCTTCATCTGCTAAGTGCTTTTCTGTTAGAGCAGAAAGATTAAAGTGGGGAATGAGATACTCTCTCATTGAGTTCAGGGGTAGGGTAACAAATGGTACAAAAAATTCTTCTACCCATTTTTCGGTGACCTCATCCCTGGCGTTGGGGAGCATCAGGAAAAAAAAATCAAAGGTGTATATTTTGCGCCTAAATACTTTTAAGTTAAAAAAAAATGCATTTTGTCAACCACTAACATTAACTTGGGGACCTTGATTTCTGAACTCGTGTCACCCTCACCCTCGTCCCCCTTGTTCTCCGGAGAAGTAGCCATTATGCAGATTCCGGAGAATGGGAGCAGCGGCTGGACCAAGCCTGGTACTGTATCTTCCCTCTTTCTCAAACCTCCGCCGAGCCAGTCCGCATCGGTAACGCGAGACTGGTCTCCGTGATTTGTCAGTAACCTAGAGTCGAGGGACCGGAAGACTGGAGGCTGAGATTCCCAGGTGGGGTCGAGTGGGGTGTGTGCCCAGAATTCATTAGCGAGGGCAGGCCCCCCACGAGACGTTATCTTTGGAAACAGTGTGGAGCTTCTACCACTGCCCGCGCTTCTGCAGTCCTGGGCTGGAAGCGTGGTTAAATAGCCGCTCCCTCCCCAGGTATGCAGCCAGCATTCCAGGCTGCCCTCCCAACCTGGGGGAATACTGTCGGTGTCTTTCTTATTCACGAAGTACCACCTCTTTCCCAAGTCACGTTCGATCACAGGGAGCCGATTTTAAATCGATAATAATATAATTAAGTCCAGCCAGACGCATTCCTCGTCAAGACTCAGGAACCTCAGGCAGGCCCACGGTACGTGGAACGGGTCACTCCGCTCCCCGCTCCCGACTCCCTCCGCCCCTAGTCCCTACTCGGTCGTAGCCAAAGCCCGGAACGCTGGATCCCGGCCCGCATGAACGGGACGGCGAACGGGAGCTGCGCCGCCGGCCGGGAGCCCGTGGCACCGGGCATGCTCAGTGGCGCGGCCGGCTGGGTGGCCCCGAGAGCTGCACCCGGATCTGCTCGGCGGCGGCGGCGGCGGCGACGTGAGCGCGCAGGGGGGCGGCGGCCTCGCTTCGTCTCTCTCTCTGCGCCTGGGTCCGGTGGGTGACGCCAAGCGCGAGAGAGATGTCGGATTTCGACAGTAACCCGTTTGCGGACCCGGATCTCAACAACCCTTTCAAGGTGAGCGTGGTCCTCAGCAGTCTCCTGCCGCCTCGACGCGTCGTTGTTTGTGAAAACGACAAGTTCTTTCGCGCCCCCTGAGCCTGCCTCTCGGCTCCCCTCAGCCGCTTAGTTTTGGTGTTCAGGGCCGCCGCAACCCGTTTGGGGGTCGCGCCCAGGCCCTCGCACCCCTCGTTTGGGGGTTGGAGTGGAACGTCTTAAGCTCCTTCCCCCGCCGCCCCCTCCGCACATTCCCGACTGGCGAGGGTTTTGCCCTAGTCTGGGAGTGGGCCCGCGCGTCGGGAGGGTTCCTGGATCGTCGCTCGGGAGCGAGGAGAGTAGAGCTCAGGGCAGGTGGAGTTGTCACTTGACAGGCGAGTGTGGCTGTCCGGGCCCGGGTTGGGGCCGGGAGGCGGCGGAAAGGGATCTTCCTCGGGTGGGGTTGTCATGGGGACCCGCGGCGGTGGCGAAGAGCTGCGTGGAGTGATGGCAGAGGTGTAGAGGAGAGGTGAGGGCACCGAGTACGCTGCAATTAGAAAAAAAAAAAAAAAAGGTTGTGATTTTATTTTTTAAACTTGTGTTGCGCCCACGTACCACCAGCGGCGCTGCCATCCCCCTTCGCCCCATTTGGTTGGGGTTGAGGGTACTGATATCAAAGCAGGAGTTAAAAATAAACAAACACACCTGGAAAACAATAGTGCACGTGGACGACCATCTTCCTACCTAAGTGCCGTTAGTTAGGTGAACGATGGGATGTTTTCCAAGCTCCTAGTGCGTCACCGGTTCCCTGGGCTGTGTGAGGATTGCATTTCCTACGTGAGCTTCTTTCTTTCTTGGAGTCAACCTTATCAACCCCAGCTTTGGAAGAGCTTGGCACAGAAACGGGCAAATGAAGGAGGCTGAGATGTTGTGTGCTTAAGCGAATGCAACATCTGAGTAAATCCCTATTTAAAAAAAATTCCAATTTTCTTGATGAACTCAGCTGCTTACACGTGTAATTTGTTTCCAACTCTTGGTCGAAGTTCATTAATTTTTCCTGAATATGTGCAATAGTCACCTTAATTTGTAGTCACACAAAACAAGAGAGTAACTTGAATTTGTGGTCACACAAGTGTCGCTTCTGGCTTGAGTTTACATTTTGTTACTTGTGGTTTTATCTCTTATTAAGAATTCTGGAAGGGGGTGGAGCATGTGACTCGATCCCAGGGTTGTGAGTTCGAGCCTCATATTGGGTGTAGAGATTAATTAACCATAGAATCTTAAAAAAAAAAAAAAGTAAAAAAGTCATTTAAGAATATTTTATGCAACTGGCCTGGAACTTTCAGGCTTTAAAGCTGATATGGTTACACTTTAAGGAGAGCCCACCCTCTCAATTTAGTATTTGGTATTACATCATTCCATGTTGTGGAAAATATTGTTCTTTAATCACAGACATTCTGAACAGACATAACTTGCCAAATAGGTGTTATTTAAAAATATTTGGAAGGTATAACATTAAGAACCTATTACCTTTTCCTAATTCAGATAATTCATTGATACTATTTATTCAGCATCTGACAGTTGGGCTGTTTTCTATTTGGTTATTCCATTTCATGGCTCATTTTATATAGCTAATTCTCTTGTTAGGGCAAGACACTTTTCTACTTAGCCTAGACTGCTCTTTTGTGACATCTGATGTTGCCATGACACTTTGCTTTTCTGCCATCCGTTACATTGTTGTAGTAATTCTAAACCCAAAAGTAGTTTTCCATACTCATTCATTGTGACATAAAATTATAAACCTTTTTTGTTCCTTATAAGTGGATGCACTCACAGGACAGTGATTATTCATCCATAAAATGCTTCCAAGGGATGGATAATTTAGGCCTAGAGAAGACTTGTTTATGACCATACCCTGTTTTTGGCAACTGTCATAGCACTGTGTATCTGACCCTTTATCTTTCCTTTTGTGTCTAGCTGCCCTTTTTTTTTTTTTTAATGTTTATTTAGTTATTTTTGCGAAATAGATCGTGAGCAGGGAGGGGCAGAGAGAGGGAGACAATCCCAAGTAGGCTCCCTATCGCATCGGTGCAGAGCCTGATGCAGGGCTACAACTCACGAACTGAACTGTGAGATCATGACCTAGGTGGAAACCAATTGTCAGACGAGGCACTCCTGCCCTTCTTAAAGTAAAGGTTTGCCTCTGTAGCTTATTCTTTCTTCTTTCGGTTTACTTTTATGTAAGTGTGATTTTTGAAATAGCTTTTCTGGTCCTCTCTCCTTAAATATAAAAGTTCCTGGATTTATCATTTTAACTTAAGACCATCTTTCTTTTCAGATCTGTTCTAATTTCCAGTATTTCAGTAATCAAAAATTTCATATTTCCAAAATACATGTTTCACATTTGGCAACCATCCTGATTTCTTCTTGGTTAAAAAGCTGTTTGATTTCTATTGCTTTTTCAGTTCTTCATCATTTCTTTTCCTTCACTTTTATGTTAGAAGCACTTGTCATCATCTTCATTTGAACTGTCATGAAAATAATTTGGAGATAATCTCCTTAAATAATGTAACTGTGATGGCTTACAGAATTTTATTAGCTGCTATAAAATTGTTTGCTGGATTCAATTTATTTTTTTGAGCTCCTGCTTGATTCTAGTGGTTGTGATAGGCTCACTGAAAGAATTCATGGAATTTGAGTAGTTTTTATTGCGCATCAAGAAACTTGGAGTAACTGGAAATATGTAGTAATCTGAAAAATAGATTATTACATGGATGTTCCTGAGAATCTACTCTTGTTATAATGTGGATTTAAAGCTATAGAGGAAAAATATTTTTCACATAGTCAACATTTATTGTTTTCTGTCTTCTGTTCAGTTATTCATTTATTCCATAGATAGTGAAGAAATATATATCCTTAAGGCTATTAGTCTAACATGTAGACAGACATGCTTCAGAAGTAAAATAGAGTAAAATAATCACCAGAGATCAATAATTTAATACGGTTCTTGTAAGTCAGTGTAAGTGTATAAGTACCAGAATGAGTTGATTCAAAGGAAAGAAAGATTAATAAGTGGTAAGAAGACCTTCATATCTTTTGATATGCCTTACTATATTAATATGCTAATTGATTGGATTGGAAAACTCACTTTGGAAATAAATTTTTATGTAATTAAAAAAAGTAGAACTTTCAAGTCTGGGAAGGGAAAATCTACAGTGACTTATTGAGATCTCATTCTTCGGACAAAAAAAAAGCCCAGAGATAAGATATTTCACGTATAGCAATCATTCTAATTTCTTCTTGATTAAAAACTCATGATTCTCATTGTTAACTTGCCCATCGTCTTATACCCAGGTGTAGGTGGTGTAGAATTGGCACTAGAATTTAAATCTTACTCTTAGCTGCTGATGGCACTCTCTTTGCTCATTGATTGCGTTTCTGACACCAGATTCTTGTTTTGTATTTGGAGTTTGGACTTGAGGCTCTCATACAGAGACAGCAGAAGGACATATTTAAAGGTTTCTGCTCAAGAGTTTAAAACAACTCAGCATTTGATTCTGGCTTTGTCACTAGCTGTGATACTTTGGAAAATTGCTTACCCTCTTTATACCTCTGTTCTGTGAAATAGGATAATAGGATCTTCTCCATAGGGTTGTTAATAGGATTAGATGAACATATATTTAGTATGTAATAAGTGCTCAATGCATGGTGGCTTTAATTCGTTAATTACTAATAAGTAATAGTAATTCAAGAAATTGCCTTTAAACACATTTAACTATATTCTTAGCTTAGTGATTTAGTGAAGTTGACAGACAATGTTCCATTAGACTATGGTATATAACATATGATTCCACAAGTCTGTATATTATACTATGCTCACCTCAAGTGTAGCTACCATGTGTTACAACACTATTATAATATGATTGTGTTTACATTCTCTATGCTGTACCTCCCTAAGGCTTACTTATTTCATAAAAGTTCATGTTCCTTTACACTCTTTGAGGCTGCTAGTAATGTTTGGCAGGTCACAGTTGAGGAATCATGGCCAAACAGAAGTGGGTTTGCTCTAGGTCACTGCTAGACTAGACCCGGGTTGCCTGAATTCTAGTGCTTTGTCACTTACAAAGGCTTCCCCCCTAAGAAAAGAACTCTATTCGTTTGGGCCTCAAAAATTCTTTCTTACAATAATCTCTTGAAAGTGGGCTACAATTCACCATTCCTTGTGATATTTAAGCTACAGTAATTCTAGTAGTTCTAAGAGTTGAGAACGAGTTGAAAATTGAAAACTTTATTGTTAAAAAGTGACCCGTAATTCAAGGATCCTATCTATTTTGTTTTCATTTATAGTTAGTTGATGTCACTCCTGTCTTATCCATTTAAAATTTATGACTGGATATTGGCTAGCACTAGGAAAGGATTGTGAGGATTTCTTCTGTGATAGTCTAACATTGCTAACTTTATCTTTCAGCTTTAATCTGGGACATAGTGATATTAATTTATGGTCTGTGGTATTTTGTGGTGATGCCAACTGCATAAGTTGGTACTTGATTTTCCTCACGTTGGTACTTTTAAAAAGCATGTACTGAGCTGCTGATTATATTTCATCAAATTAAGATGCATCATTATTTACCATTGTCTCAGTTGCCTATTGCTGTATAACAATCCCAAAATTTAGTGGATTAAAACAACAATTATTTGCTCATCAGTCTGTTATTTGAGCTAGACTTAGTTGGGCAGTTTGTTTTTGAATGTTATTCCCTGGAATCACTTCGTCTCATCACTTATCTGGGGCTGTCACTGGGGGCAGTAATTGGTTCTTTTTTATGTGGCCTTTCTATTAGGAATAGCCTGGGCTTTTTCCATAGTAGTAGTGTTCCAAGAGGGCAAGAGGGGAAGCTAAAGGCTTCTTGAGTCATTTTTCTTCTGCTATATTGTGTTAGTCAAAGAAAACACAAAGCCAGACCAGATTAAAAAAGGAGTGGGAAGGATTACATTAGATTTTACTCCTTGATGGGAGGAGGTGTGTCCCTCTTGATACAGAC